TTAATGCCGACACTACTTTTAACACACCTGGACCCCACTTTTGTCCAGAAATTACAAGCGGCTATGGCAAACAAACATTCTTCCACCACCACCACCACACCAGCCAACAACATGTGCCCCACATTCTCCACACAGCTGAACATGTGTTCGTAAAAATCTATGCTGTCCTCCATTCTCTACAGTAACTTTACAGGGGACAATTTTAAGTGGTTTCTCAAACACTGACACTTTACCATCAAGTGCTAAGGCATGCAGGAAAATGTCTGCATCGATTGCCTAAAACTAGCACACTGCAACGCTGCCCCAGATATTGCTCCAGAAGCACATCCACCGACACCGTCATACACTTTACGACCACGGTTACAGCAGCAGCACCACCTGATCCTACGACAGCAGACGAACCACCGTGACGTTCCCACCCAACAACCCCAGTTAGATGAGGTCAGTCAAGTAGTAGTAAACTTCAAGGGTTATACTACACAAGCACCAACCAGCCAGGTTCCTTGATCAAGCATTTTTATCAAACAATCTAACATTATAATTATCTGCTCCTCCATACAACACACACAAAATTAAAAACAAAAAATGAAACATTGTGCACCTTTGACGAATAATTTTTATTTGTATATACAAGAGTTCTTACATTCTTGTAACAAGCATGCATAGCATTTCGGGCAGGCCCTTAATTCTAATTTTCCCCAGAATATGACCAACCAAATCGTTGAACCAGGTACCCATTCACTGCTGGGTCAATAGAGATGTACAGTTAAGGATTGGCACCCTGTCAATCCTCCCCGGCAAGGATACAAACCCAGGCCAAATCGCTCAAATAGCACGGAGAAATTGAAATTGAAATAAGTTTATTGAGGTAAAATATACACAAAGGGATAAGGTAGCTCAAGCTATTCTCACCCCATTTAGCATGGAGAAGTGTCTTACCACTGTGCCACGGAGACTGCTCTCATTACTAACAAAGCCCATCAAGAAATCCACAATCATTTTTAGCATTGGAATATTTACTTTTATTTCATGGCTTTAAACTTAAATTATCTTAAAGAGTAAGATAATCAAACATAACATTCTTTCTGCATAATGGCACGTCTCTCGTATGGTAAAAATTAAATATTTTTTGTTGACGGGTATCTACCACAGCATGCAAACATACATTTGTTTACTTCACAAAATCAAATGCTATGATTCAGTAATAGATATTACTGAACCAAATCAGATAATGTCTTGTTTGGGCCTCCAGCTTCACCATTATTCTGTAGTAGTGTAGTACAACCTCGACCACAACTCCCATCAGCGGCTACACCACAACCTAGTCCACAACCCCCACCAGCGGCTACACCACAACCTCGACCACAACCCCACCAGCGGCTACACCACAACCTCGACCACAACCACCACCACAGCTACACCACAACCTCGACCACAACTCCCACCAGCGGCTACACCACAACCTCGACCACAACCCCCACCAGCGGCTACACCGCAACCTCGACCACAACCCCCACCAGCGGCTACACCGCAACCTCGACCACAACCCCCACCAGCGGCTACACCGCAACCTCGACCACAACCCCCACCAGCGGCTACACCGCAACCTCGACCACAACCCCCACCAGCGGCTACACCGCAACCTCGACCACAACCCCCACCAGCGGCTACACCGCAACCTCGACCACAACCCCCCAGCGGCTACACCGCAACCTCGACCACAACCCCCACCAGCGGCTACACCGCAACCTCGACCACAACCCCCACCAGCGGCTACACCGCAACCTCGACCACAACCCCCACCAGCGGCTACACCGCAACCTCGACCACAACCCCCACCAGCGGCTACACCGCAACCTCGACCACAACCCCCACCAGCGGCTACACCGCAACCTCGACCACAACCCCCACCAGCGGCTACACCGCAACCTCGACCACAACCCCCACCAGCGGCTACACCGCAACCTCGACCACAACCCCCACCAGCGGCTACACCGCAACCTCGACCACAACCCCCACCAGCGGCTACACCGCAACCTCGACCACAACCCCCACCAGCGGCTACACCGCAACCTCGACCACAACCCCCACCAGCGGCTACACCGCAACCTCGACCACAACCCCCACCAGCGGCTACACCGCAACCTCGACCACAACCCCCACCAGCGGCTACACCGCAACCTCGACCACAACCCCCACCAGCGGCTACACCGCAACCTCGACCACAACCCCCACCAGCGGCTACACCGCAACCTCGACCACAACCCCCACCAGCGGCTACACCGCAACCTCGACCACAACCCCCACCAGCGGCTACACCGCAACCTCGACCACAACCCCCACCAGCGGCTACACCGCAACCTCGACCACAACCCCCACCAGCGGCTACACCGCAACCTCGACCACAACCCCCACCAGCGGCTACACCGCAACCTCGACCACAACCCCCACCAGCGGCTACACCGCAACCTCGACCACAACCCCCACCAGCGGCTACACCGCAACCTCGACCACAACCCCCACCAGCGGCTACACCGCAACCTCGACCACAACCCCCACCAGCGGCTACACCGCAACCTCGACCACAACCCCCACCAGCGGCTACACCGCAACCTCGACCACAACCCCCACCAGCGGCTACACCACAACCTCGACCACAACCCCCACCAGCGGCTACACCACAACCTCGACCACAACCACCACCAGCGGCTACACCACAACCTCGACCACAACCCCCACCAGCGGCTACACCACAACCCCTCCACCAGCGGCTACACCACAACCCCCACCACCGGCTACACCACAACCCCCACCACCGGCTACACCACAACCCCCACCACCGGCTACACCACAACCCCCACCACCGGCTACACCACAACCCCCACCAGCGGCTACACCACAACCCCCACCAGCGGCTACACCACAACCCCCACCAGCGGCTACACCACAACCCCCACCACCGGCTACACCACAACCCCCACCAGCGGCTACACCACAACCCCCACCAGCGGCTACACCACAACCCATCACCACCAGCTACACCACAACCCATCACCACCGGCTACACCACAACCCCCACCACCGGCTACACCACAACCTCAACCACAACCACCACCAGCGGCTACACCACAACCCCCCCACCAGCGGCTACACCACAACCCCTCCACCAGCGGCTACACCACAACCCCTCCACCAGCGGCTACACCACAACCCCTCCACCAGCGGCTACACCACAACCCCTCCACCAGCGGCTACACCACAACCCCTCCACCAGCGGCTACACCACAACCCCCACCACCGGCTACACCACAACCCCCACCACCGGCTACACCACAACCCCCACCAGCGGCTACACCACAACCCCCACCAGCGGCTACACCACAACCCCCACCAGCGGCTACACCACAACCCCCACCACCGGCTACACCACAACCCATCACCACCGGCTACACCACAACCCCCACCACCGGCTACACCACAACCCCCACCACCGGCTACACCACAACCCCCACCACCGGCTACACCACAACCCCCACCACCGGCTACACCACAACCCCCACCACCGGCTACACCACAACCCCCACCAGCGGCTGCACCACAACCCATCACCACCGGCTACACCACAACCCCCACCAGCGGCTACACAACCCCCACCACCGGCTACACCACAACCCATCACCACCGGCTACACCACAACCGCCACCACCGGCTACACCACAACCCCCACCACCGGCTACACCACAACCCCCACCAGCGGCTACACCACAACCCCCACCACCGGCTACACCACAACCCCCACCACCGGCTACACCACAACCCCCACCAGCGGCTACACCACAACCCCCACCAGCGGCTACACCACAACCCCCACCAGCGGCTACACCACAACCCCCACCAGCGGCTACACCACAACCCCCACCAGCGGCTACACCACAACCCCCACCACCGGCTACACCACAACCCCCACCAGCGGCTACACCACAACCCCCACCAGCGGCTACACCACAACCCATCACCACCAGCTACACCACAACCCCCACCAGCGGCTACACCACAACCCCCACCAGCGGCTACACCACAACCCCCACCAGCGGCTACACCACAACCCCCACCACAACCCCCACCACCGGCTACACCACAACCCCCACCAGCGGCTACACCACAACCCCCACCAGCGGCTACACCACAACCCCCACCAGCGGCTACACCACAACGCCCACCAGCGGCTACACCACAACCCCCACCAGCAGCTACACCACAACGCCCACCAGCGGCTACACCACAACCCCCACCACAACCCCCACCACCGGCTACACCACAACCCCCACCACCGGCTACACCACAACCCCCACCAGCGGCTACACCACAACCCATCACCACCGGCTACACCACAACCCATCACCACCGGCTACACCACAACCCCCACCACCGGCTACACCACAACCCCCACCACCGGCTACACCACAACCCATCACCACAAAACTCATTAATGACCAATAAAAAAAAATCAATATGAACAATAGGGACCACCAGGGCTGGAGGACCAATACGTCTTAAGAGGAGTAAGTTGTCCTCAAGACGTTCACGGGAACTACCACCTTCTAGACACCTCCCCCCCGCCCCCCCATGGTGTAGGTAACTACCCCAGCCTCCCTAACCTTGGTAGGCCTAGAACCTTCCCATCTTGCTAGGTGGTTGGTGTATGTGTGTGTGTGTGTGTCCCCGAGGGCCCTGGCAGCCAGGGGCAGGGTGAGGAGGGCCCTGCAAGGCGCCCCTGGCGTCTCAGAAATGTCAGCCAGGGACCTGTGGGCAGATGAGCACAAAAACATTGCTATCGTCTTGGTGGACGTCTGGCTTAACACCTCCTTAAGACGCTCCTCGCACCTCCTCCTCCATCATAATCACCTCCCCGGGGTGCGGGAGGGGCCGCCCTCGTGGCTGTGAGGCAGGAGGGAGCCAGGGCCAGGGTTTACAGCGGCGGGGGAAGGTTTAAAACTTACCTCAGCACAGCACAGCACTGATGACATGCCGCCATCTTTAGGACTAACCCGCTGCTGGTGTGCCAAGGTTACCCCGTCGCCACTCTTCTCCTCCCTACTCCCGCTGCCCTATATCCTCACCTCGCCACACCCGCGGCGCCAACTACGGCATAGTGCTCAACTGGTGTTTGGGTGGTGTAGGGTGAGGGTGTGGGCAGTGTGAGGAGGTGTTGTGGTGGTGTGAGTGTGTAGACTTGGCAAGGTGGTAGTTGGGTTCACCATCGCCAGGCGGAGCTCGCCACACTCATCGCCCGCCACACTCAACACACTCACTCACTCACTCACTCACTCACTCACTCACTCTCTGTATACACTCAGTCATGTCGTGTTAGTCTTATTGTTGTGTGTGTGTGTGTTTAGCGGTAGGGAGGGTTGTGTTGTGTAGTGAGGAGGTTGTTACAGGTGTAGGCCAGGGGCAGGTCCCGCCACACTCAACGTGCGCATCTCATTACACTGCCTCCCCCTCCTCCTATATGTCTTCTCAACTCATGTCTGTGCATGCGAATATTGTGTGTGCACGCGCGTGTGTGTGTGTGTGTGTGTTCGCGCGCGTGTGTACTCACTTAGTTGTGAGTGTGTGGTCACACTAGGGCGGTGTGTGTGTGTGTGCAGACGCGCGCGAGTGTGTGAGTGTACGCGCACGTGTGTGTCTCAGGAGCTCAAGATCGTGGCCTTGTGGAGAACAGGAAGCTGCTCTGACTGTTGTTGTTGTGGAGTCAGCTACTCGGAAGTTGCTCTCACGAAGGTTTCGCACATTTTACCTTGTTTGTGTGTAGAGTGTACTACAGTACATGTTGCTTGGCTGTACCTCACTCTCAAACATCTTTATGTCTCTTGCTCCTTCAATTTTAAATAATGGTCAGGACATAAGAATGAAGGTATCTGCAGAAGGCCTATTGGCCCATACGAGGCAGCTCTTATTTATATCTACCCAATCTCATTTATATATCTCTCCGCTTACTTCAGGGATAATCACCGATAGCACTACAGACCATTACCCCACATTTCTCCTAACATTAACAAACCACCTCTAGAGACAAGGGAGATAAGCTTTAGGCTGCACAATGAAACTGTTATAGGAATTTTATAACTGCTGCTGATAATGTCAACTGGGAGTCCGAGTTAGGTACCATAGGGGAAATCAACCTAGCAGCGCAATCTTTTCTTCAAAAAACTCTCAGCCTTTATAACACCCACTGTCATATGCTAACGAAACAAGTCACAACCAAAACGCTAAACAATCCTTGGCTTACAAAGGGAATACTTAAATCCATTAATAAAAAACATGACCTTGAGAAGAAGTATTGGTTAGGAACAGTCTCCAAAGAATTCTCAAAGAATTACTCGTTATTGCTATCAAAAATAATTAGAAGAGCCAAAACTAAATAGTACGAAGATAAATTTAACCAAACAAAGGGCAACATTAAGAAACATGGAGCACAATTTCACAAATATTGGGATCAAAGAAGATTTTAAATAACAAACCAACACTCCTGTCCAATAACGATGGTCAGCTTTCAGCCTCTGATTCTGCTATTGAGTTCAATAGGTTCTTCGCTTCCACTGGGTCATCCCTTGCAAATGATATTCCATTATAAAACTGATGTTCAGGACTATCTTACAAGTAACTATCCACAGTCTCTGTACCTAAAGTCTACAAATTCCGCTGATGTTAATGAGATAATCCTTTCCCTTAAAACCAAGTCTAGTGCCCTCGAGGAGATACCAACTTTAATTTACAAAAAAGCCTCCAGATCTTTAGCCCCGGCTATTGCATTGCTCTTCAACAAGTCACTTGAACTCCAAACCTTTCCAGATATTCTAAAAAACGCGAGAGTAACGCCTGTCCACAAATGTGGTGATCACACAGATGTTAACAACTACAGACCTATATCAATCCTGCCAAACTTGTCAAAAATATTTGACAAACTAATCTACAAGCAGCTTTACTCTTATCTAGCCAAACACAATACACTTAGCTCTTGTCAATATGGCTTCAGACCCAAAAAAAGCACTAACGATGCACTTATTAGTATGAATAACTTGATACATGCAGCTCTTGATAAAAATGAGTTCCCTGTTGGGTTATTTGTGGACCTGGTTGATACCTGGTTGATGGGGTTCTGGGAGTTCTTCTACTCCCCAAGCCCGGCCCGAGGCCAGGCTTGACTTGTGAGAGTTTGGTCCACCAGGCTGTTGCTTGGAGCGGCCTGCAGGCCCACATACCCACCACAGCCCGGTTGGTCCGGCACTCCTTGGAGGAATATTCCTCTTGAAGATGTCCACGGTTGTTCCGGCAATATTTCTTATGCTTGCTGGGAGGACGTTGAACAACCGCGGACCTCTGATGTTTATACAGTGTTCTCTGATTGTGCCTATGGCACCTCTGCTCTTCACTGGTTCTATTCTACATTTTCTTCCATATCGTTTACTCCAGTACGTTGTTATTTTACTGTGTAGATTTGGTACTTGGCCCTCCAGTATCTTCCAGGTGTATATGATTTGATATCTCTCTCGTCTTCTTTCTAGTGAGTACATTTGGAGGGCTTTGAGACGATCCCAATAATTTAGGTGCTTTATTGCGTCTATGCGTGCCGTATATGTTCTCTGTATTCCCTCTATTTCAGCAATATCTCCTGCTCTGAAGGGGGAAGTGAGTACTGAGCAGTACTCAAGACGGGACAACACAAGTGACTTGAAGAGTACAACCATTGTGATGGGATCCCTGGATTTGAAAGTTCTCGTAATCCATCCTATCATTTTTCTGGCTGTCGCAATATTTGCTTGGTTATGCTCCTTAAACGTTAGGTCGTCAGACATTATTATTCCCAAATCCTTTACATGCTGTTTTCCTACTATGGGTACATTTGATTGTGTTTTGTACTCTGTATTATGTTTAAGGTCCTCATTTTTACCGTACCTGAGTACCTGGAATTTATCACTGTTAAACATCATGTTATTTCCTGATGCCCAGTCGAAAACTTTATTAATATCAGCTTGAAGTTTTTCAATGTCCTCTGCCGAGGTAATTTTCATACTGATTTTTGTGTCATCTGCAAAAGATGATACGAAGCTGTGACTTGTATTTTTGTCTATATCTGATATGAGACCTGCGTAAGGCTTTGACAGTCAACCACCAAGACCTTCTTCTTAAATTACATCATTATGGAGTCAGAGGACACTCCCTGCAATACCTCAAATCTTACCTTACTGACAGGCTCCAGTATGTTTCTGTGAATAATTCAATTTCTCCCACCCTACCCATCAACATTGGTGTTCCTCAGGGCAGCATACTTGGCCCTCTCCTCTTTCTCATCTACATTAATGACCTTCCAAATGCCTCCCAATACCTCAAACCAATTCTATTTGCTGACGACACAACCTTCATTTTCTCCAGTCCTGACCCCCTTGCTCTAAATGCCACAGTAAATACTGAGCTAAATAAAGTCCATCTTTAACTAACTGCCAACAAACTCACCCTTAACATTGACAAAACCTTTTATATTCTGTTTGGCAATAAATCCTCTAATCAAATAAATCTCAGAATAAACAATACCCAAATTTGTAACAAATTAGATGGCAAATTCCTTGGCGTTCTCATTGACCACAAGCTGAATTTCCAGGGACACATTCTAAATATATCAAAAAAAGTTTCAAAAACTGTTGGCATTCTTTCTAAGATCAGATATTATGTACCCCGCCCTGCCCTGGTGGCGCTCTATTACTCCCTCATCTATCCTTATCTCAACTATGGTATTTGTGCTTGGGGTTCTACTACTCAAAATCATTTACGTCCTCTAATTACTCAACACAAAGCTGCTATTAGAACAGTATCCAACTCTGGCCCCAGACATCACTCGGTACCCCTACTCAAATCTCTGAATATGTTAGATATTAAGTCACTGCACATTCTCTCTTATTTATTTATTTATTTATTTATTTATTTATTTATTTATTTATATACAAGAAGGTACATTGGGTTAGAGAGAATACATAGCATAGTATTTACAATCTTGTAAAGCCACTAGTACGCGCAGCGTTTCGGGCAGGTCCTTAATCTAACAGATAATTTTAAGTAGGTAAATTCTATCAGAATTAATAAAATGATAACAGATACATTGCAAGAAAAAATGAGATGAGAGAGATCAGTAAGTATATTAAAGCACATTGGTATATTAAAGCTCTGATTGATTACATTGACAGCTTGATTGGTAATTTAAACAAGATTAATAGGCACCATACAGCAGATTGACAGCACATGTAAGAAGACAGCAATGATCACAATGGTAAAGATGTTCAGATTGGGTACATAAAGATTGGGAGATTGGGTAGCAATAGATACAGTGCAATTTTAAAGCAAAAGGTAAAAAACTATGAAGATGAAATTAGGTACTTTTTAGTATTGTTTTTGAATGACACAAAAGTTGGACAGCTTTTCAATTCAATAGGGAGTGAGTTCCATAGACTGGGTCCCTTTATTTGCATAGAGTGTTTACACAGATTAAGTTTGACTCTGGGGATATCAAAGAGATATTTATTTCTGGTGTGGTGATAATGGGTCCTATTACATCTGTCCAGGGAGAGTTTCAGAGCAGGATTTGCATTTAAGAACAGGGTTTTGTAAATGTAGTTGACACAAGAGAATTTATGGAGTGAGATTATGTTTAGCATGTTTAGGGAGTTAAACAAGGGGGCTGAATGCTGTCTGAAAGCAGAATTTGTTATTATTCTGATAGCAGATTTTTGCTGGGTAATGATGGACTTGAGGTGGTTTGCAGTGGTTGAACCCCATGCACAGATACCATAATTAAGATAGGGATAGATTAGTGCATAATATAGAGAGAGATGAGAGCAGAGTTAGGTACATAATTTCTAACTTTCTAGAGTATACCAACTGTTTTAGAGACTTCCTTAGTTATGTGTTGTATGTGGGTACTGAAGTTGAGTCTCTTGTCTAGGAATAGGCCAAGAAACTTGCCATCATTTTTATTACTGATGTTAATGTTGTCTATCTGTAGCTGAATTGCTTGTTGACATAGTTTGTTGGTTGACATCCATAAGTGGACTTTTTTTAGTTCATTATTAACAACACCATT